CACTCCATCGGCTCCAGCTCCCAGCTCACCACCTCGCTCTACCAGACCACGGGCCAGGCCGCAGGCGACATGGGCCACGTCAACATCACCGACCTCCGCGGCGGCAAGGTCGCCTTCGCCTCCGCCGCGCCCGGCGCCAAGTTCCAGTCCACCTACACCAAGCGCGTCGCCGACTTCCCGTCCAACCTCTCCGTCCTCGAGGTCTCCGACCCCATCACCTTCCCTGGCCTCTTCGGCGCCCCGTCCGCCCCGTCCGCCAACCTCACCGACCTCCTCGAGAAGGCCGGGTGCAAGCAGTTCGCGCGCCTCATCGTCTCGTCCGGGGTGGTCAAGACGTACCAGGCCGCCATGGACAAGGCGCTCACCCTGTTCGCGCCCAACGACGACGCGTTCAAGGCCAAGGACCTGCCCGATCTGAGCAAGCTCACCAGCGCCGACCTCGTCGCGCTACTTCAGTACCACGCTCTGCCGCAGTACGCGCCCAAGGCGTCGCTCAAGGTCGCTAACGGCCGCATCCCGACCCTCGCCTCCACCGGCGCCGGGAAGTACGACCTCACCGTCGCCTCCAGCGGCGACGAAGTGTCTCTGGACACCGGCGTGGACAAGTCCCGCGTCGCGTCCACCGTGCTCGACGACCCCCCGACGGTCATCCTCACGGTCGACAGCGTGCTGCTCCCGCACGTGATCTTCGGCGGCGCGCCGTCCCCCGCACCGGCGCCCGGACCGGCCGCCGACGTGCCCGCTTCGGCCCCTGCTCCCGAAGGCTCCTCCCCGGCGCCCTCTCCCAAGGCCGCTGGCAAGAAGAAGAAGAAGAAGGCTAAGTCCCCTTCGCACTCCCCACCCGCGCCACCGGCGGACTCGCCCGACATGTCCCCCGCCGACGCGCCAGCCGGTGACGCCGTGGACAAGGTCGAATCTAAGAAGAACGGCGCCGCCGCAGCGGCCGTTAGCGTCGCGGCCTCGGTGGCCTCTGTGGTCCTGGCCGTCGCGTTCCTCTTGTGAGCGAGCGGCAGGCGTGTTCGACGCCGAGCCCCCCGTAGTTTTCTCTCCAAGAATCTGCGCGTGCATGTTGTGACGCGGCGAAATCTGTTGTTGCTCGTGAGTTTCTCGTGGGCTCCATTGATGATTTGATAATGCTCATCAGGTGTTTTGGTTAGTTGGTTTGTTGGAGGAATTCTAGGATTTGGTCCTCCAGTCCTCGTGTGCGGCTTTTGGTAGTATCATTCGATGTTGATTTGTTCTTGTTCTTCTTGCTGTGTTGTTCTGCAGTCCTCCAGTCCTCTTGGTGCATTCTACCTATCAGCGACTGCATTTCACATGATCACATCCAGCAGTTTTCTGTATCTTTTTTCCGAGGAGTTTTCTGAAGCTTCTTGCAAATGCTTTGATTCCTTCTACTTTAGCCGTATCATTCGTTGTGCCAATCGAACTAGGGATTCAGTCATTGCTGATTGAATGTAGTACTACGTAATACGTATGGACTATGAGAAAGAAGAGATGCGAAAAATGTGAACGGTATAAATTCAAGTGATTAAAACTAGGCCCAGTCCAGTTCGTCGTCAAATATTCATGCAATTTTTACCTCATGAACTACAATTTTTCACCTTCATTTACTGCCCCTGGTGCATCATGTGACTCTGCGCTGCGCCCTGGCACCGTGTACGTGACTACAAACGTATCGTATACGGAGTACTACCGTGTATACTCGCCACTCTTGCACTGTTGCACGCTGGCCGCGATGGTCAGGCCGTGGCCGTGGCCGTGGGGTCCCTTGGAGGAGGGAAGGGAGGGAAGCACGCACGACCCCTCCAAACCGCGCACAGGCCTTGGCTCTACTCGGGAGCCGGGAGAGGATCGCATGGTGGCATGGCTGCATTTCTCGGTTTTCTCACGTTTTTGCCAATCTTTTTGGCTGGGGCTGGCCATGCTTTTGCCTTGTTGGCTGGTTGGCATGGCTTCGTCCGTTTAAGCTTATGGGTCAGAATCAGTCCTGCTTTTTAATCTAATCATAGAGTCCTGCTTTTTAATCTAATCATAGGAACAATGTTTAATGAGTCCTACGGATCAGCCGAAGCAGCCGAGTCCTGCCCAACAGTCCCTCGGATCCTTTCGCTGCTCCGTTCCCGGGGGCGATAAAGCGGAGCGGTCTCTGGTTTTCTGTGACGATGGCGTAGTCCTACGGGCTCTGTATGTGGCAGAACTCTGCGATAGCAGCTCTGCGAGGCGCCACGCACCGGGGGCAATTCCGTGATTTGGAAAAGTAGACAGTGGTTGCGCTGCACTTGCACAGCGTGTGTTCGTTCGTCGGTGGCTCACTAGACCCCAGCAGCTCCTTGATACAACTCTCTAATAAAATTATAAAATGATACTATAATAAAGATGTTTTTAAGCAGTAGATCTTTACGAATCTTGACCTCCTGACTTCTGAAACAGGTCAACGTGTTGAAATCCTGGAAGATCGGTGATTAAATAGTGCTGGAAGCGGCCCTAACAAAGTGTTGCATGTGCGAGACTCGGGACTCTTGTCAGCGTTTCAACAAGTTCAAAGACAACGGGATTATCATATGCAAATCTAAAGACAAACTCAGAGAACAGAAGCAAGGACAGGTGGATGCAGAAGCAACCGGTGCCGGTCACGTGGAGATCGAGTCCTGCACAAGAAATTTTACACAAGCTGGTCCTGCAACCCGACCCCGAGGTACTCCGCACACAAGACACAACTCAAACGAAACATATTTCTTGAAGGGACGTGGCCGTCATGGGAGTGGGACTCGTGTGTGTGGTGTGGTTCAACATGACTGCGAAGAACCTAGAGTCTGTTGGTAACCGATGCGCCGCCGACGCTTACTGAACAATCTTAACTAATCACGTGGTCTAAATGCTCCCCATAGCTGACCAGTTTTTCTCCTGCAGGTCTGCAATACTGCAACCGCAATTTAACAACTGTGTGTTCACTGTAAACGTGCAGCGGCTCGATCGTCTTGTGATGGATCCTGACTTTGTTCCTGAACTGTATGATGGATGGATCCTGAATTCCTGAAGCTATCGAGCGCCAGCGGTGACCCAGAATCACTGCATTTCGCATTCAGTAGTTTCGCAATGATAGGGAGGTAGAAAGGGAGAGCGTTGAGGGTTGCAGCACAGGCGAAACACAGAGACGCACCGCGCCACTGTCACTCAGCAGTGCCGTTGGACACTTGGACTCCGCCGTGATCACCGATCAGCGTGCGCGCTCACCACTAGCAAAATCAGTAGTGGTCGACTGATGGCAAGCTGGTGCTGGTTTGGGCAGCGGCAGAGAAGCTTTACCATGGATCGTGTGCGGGGCTGGAGTGGGAGAGAGATGATTGCCGGCTCGGAAAGGAGGCGCGATCCATAGAGCTGCTGCGGCCTTGTACCAGGTGAGAGTGAGACTGTGAGAGAGACTCTTTACAAAGATTCCCATGGGTGGAGCATGGATTTTTGCAGACGATTCGCTCCTTTGATTCCTTGGAATTCTCGTCCGATAGTGCAGCTGCTGAAAGCCTGTGTGATGCTGTGAATTGCTGACGCACTGTGTCATTATTCTGCTGGGTTTACGCCATCGTGGTCGTGGCTTCATGATTTTGCATTTCTGCTGCTCTTCGTTTCACTCCATCCAGGACCAGGACTCCAGGAGTATTCGACCACGAAAATGATCAGAAAGTAGAGGCTACTAGATATCCCATTTGGAGGAGGTTAGTGCCCAGAGGCCAGAGCTGATGATGTTCTGTAAGCCGTGCAGTAGTCTATTTAAAGAGGCCCAAAAGTAGCATGGTCCAGAGGTTTTTTCGGCCCATGTTGATGTCCTATACTTTATTATATATAAGCCCAATGGTGAATTGTTTACGCGCGCTTCGGCCAGGCCCCGGCTCACTTTTTGGTACGACAGGCAGTTCTCCAAGATTTTCTAAAAAAAAGGCTGTTCTCCAAGAACAAAGCTGAAAACCGACATAAAAATACAGGTGGTTAGCAGAAATTTAAGGCTTAACTGTCTAAATACCTTTTGTGACCATTGCCAATTCCTCCAATTCAGGAGAGACATGGATGGAGACAGAGCCTAGCCAACCGTGATCTGCTTCAGCTATACTACAGTCTGTTTATCTCAGATCCAACGATGTGCCGAGCTCTATTAGAAAGCACAGTGCCCAATCAAAGCACGTCTTGCAAAAGCATGGGAAGCTTGTGGCAATCGACATAGAAGTTGTCCTGCAATGCAATAGTGCCACCAAAATCAACAATCCACAAAGGCACTATACATGCTAACACGTAAGGCATCTTCTGAACTTGCATAGCACGTCGGCATGCTACATGTACAGGAGCTAAACTCAGATTCTGTTTGTCTGAATACTGTCTGTAAACCGTTGAAGACTTGGCTGGACTTCAGTCCACGGTAAATGTTCCAAACCGATGTCTACCACGTTGGATACGGGACAATTTTTAATTTTTTATTTATTGATTGATCTGCCCAATTGATTCCCCGCTCCATTTTAGTGCCAGACTGCCAGCTGCAAGAAATAAAAGAGCGCCAGAGACAGTGAGAGTGTTGGGCTCCATGGTGACATGCCGAGATCAGATCGAGGAGCCAATCACTCGTTCATTCTGAGCAAAACAATATATATATATTTCTGAAATACATTGAGCATAACTATACATTCCGGGTCAAATTTGGTGCTGCTACTACTACAAGAAAAGATTATAGTACAAAATCTAATGTATGTAGCCCGTCAACTGGTACAAACTTCAACATTCACGGCGCCCAATCTCTAGCAGAGTCACGAGCATGCAATTCATCGTACACGGATTCATACTTTCTGATTCTGTTGTAATGAGTGTAAATTTACAGCTAGAGCCGGAGTAGCACAACTCGAGACTACGCGTAGTAATCTTTCGGGAGCGAGCAAAATTCCTCACACAAAGAATTTAGAAGGAAAAAACCTGTAAAAAAGAATGATCAATTTGCTCTGCTGCAGAAGCTTAGATCATGTCGTCCGCCATCTCGGGCGCTGCTCGGCGACCCGCCGCAGCATGCCGTCGACCATGACGTCCACGGCGTCCTTCATGCCGCCGCCGAGGCCCTCCCCATCAGCCGCGGAGTACAGCAGCCCCGGGATCATCTTCACCACGCGCTTCCGCATCAGCCGCACCCGCGACTCCGGGATTGCCGCCAGCACGCCGCGCACCGTGAGGTTCCCCGCGCGGAGCTGGTCGCGGTCGATGAACACGGACCACTCCCCCTCGCGCCCGTCCACGGGCAGGTACCACCCGTACTGCCGGTACGCGCTCCGCCGCCAGAACAGCACGGGGACGGCGCCCGCCACCAGGCAGTCGAACAGCGAGCGCCGCGTGAAGCTGTCCCCGCGCGGCTGCAGGCAGAACCTGGCGCCCATGAAGAGCTCCATGACGAGCGCGTTGTTCTTGATGCACCTGCCCTCGGCGCAGTCCAGCGCGCCGCAGGCGGCGGCCCCGGCCGCCTGGCACTCCTCCAGCAGCAGCGCGCGGAAGTCGCCCTTGATGGCGGACCGCGGCGCGCCGGCGAAGGCAAAGAGCCTGGGGCGCGGGCGCCGCGCGACGTAGCGCTGCCACGCGCGCACGTCGGCGGCGGTGCGCGGGTGGAACCCGGTCGGGTACGGGATACCGACGTCCATGCCGTCCCAGGGATCGCGCTCGATGACGAGGCGGGTGACGTTGGCCACCCCGGGCATGGTGAGGAAGCTGCCGCCCCACCCGGCGTCCGTCGTGCGGCGGAAGTCCCACGTGATGCGGCCCAGCGCGATGAAGTGGTCCCAGCCGTGGGACCGTCGGTACCACGGCTGCGCGTGGAGCCACGACAGCAGCGCGACGCAGTCCCTGTCCCTGTCGGCACCGGTGGCGTTGGCCGCCCACAGGTGTCGGCCCACGGCGAGCCCCGCGTAGAATGGCACGAAGAACGCCGCGGCGCGCGCCGGGTCCGTCGTGCGGCAGCTGTGGGAGAGCAGGCGGCGGTGCACGATGTGCTCCAGCGCGAACTGGTCGGACGCGTACCACGACCCGAGCAGCTGCCGCGGCAGGAGCGACGACAGGTTGGTCCCGCCCGCAGGGAACCCGAGCCCGTCGTTGGCGAGGTAGGGGCACAGCGAGTACATCGGCGCCAGCGCGTCGCACATCCCGAGCAGGTCCTCGTTGAAGGCCGCGGGGAGGTCGTAGAGGTACACGAGGCCGTCGCCGCAGCGCGAATCATTCTCGTCTCGGCGCATCGGCGCCGACGCCAGCACCGGCACGGCGGCGGCGGAGGCCGGGGCGGGAGGGGGGCGCACGGCGCGGAAAGCGAGGAAGACGAGGAGCTGAAGGGCGAAGAAGGCGAGCAGGAGGAGCACGACGAGCCGCGGGCGGCGGGCGGCCAGATTTGGATGCTCGGGGCGGACCAGCGCCATGAGCGCGGCGACGGGGGGCGAGTCGATCCAGAGGTTAACTGGAGGAGCCGGATCGCGCGCGGCGCGTCGGCGTGGGTGGCGATTTGGTTGAGGCGATGCGCGCGTGCAGGGGCCCAGGAGCGCAACGGCGGCACGGGGACCAGAATGTGCGGCGTGCTAAGGCGGAGGGGGGGCGGGGACTGTTGTCTTTGCCAGTAAACTAGTGCAGAAACGGGAAACAACAGCGGCGGCTTACCGTCACGGTTTGCTCGGCGATGCCTTGGACGGGAGAGGAGGAACGTGTGCTGCCTCGCGCTCTGCTGCGGCAGAACCGCCGAATATACTTCAGCAGCCGCGTCGCCACGTATAGTCTGCTGCGAACGTGAGACAGACTTGTGTGATTGAGCATTTGAGCGCAAGTTTAGGGCCTGTTTAGTTCCGTTTGATTACCCTTCTAAAAGTTTTAGGACCTAAGATCTAAATAAAATTTACCTAAAGAACCAAACACCTTCTCTTAAAAACTTTAGGAGCTCTACCCCTCATAAAAGCTCCTAAAGTTCATTCTAGACCCTCACTACCCCTCCTTTATTGCCCTGCCCTCCTCTCTCTCCTAAAGAGGAGGGCTACATGGTCTATTTGTTAGTGCATTTATTGTTTTTAGTCAGTTTTAGGAGATGAAACCAAACACTCTTTTAGTAGATTTTGGCATCCTCATAAAAGCTCCTAAAACTTTTAGCTCCTAAAAATTTTAGGAGCTGGTAACCAAACAGGGCCTTGGTTTCTACAGAAGCTCCTAAAATTCCTGTCACATCGAATGTTTGGACACATGCATGGAGTATTAAATATAGACTAATTACGAAACTAATTGCACAACTTGCGACTAATTTGCGAGACGAATCTTTTAAGCCTAATTAGCCCATGATTTGACAAAGTGTTTTACAGTAAACACGTGCTAATGGCAGGTTAATTAGACTTAAAAAATTCGTCTCGCAAATTAGCCTCCATCTATGTAATTGGTTTTGTAATTAATCTATATTTAATGCTCCTTATTAATATCTAAACATTCGATGTAACATGAATTTTAGGAGCGATTAAAGAAACAAACAACCCCCTGTGTCTAGAATTATCGTGTATGCACATAACGGATCCGCAAGTAATCTGTAGCCTAGGCAAGCTTCCATGATCTTGTGGGTGACTTTCTCTTGTGTGTAGCAATACTTAGGGTCTCTTTGGATCTCATCCTAATTGTAAGTTGTAGTCCGTAATTATGGATTTTGAATTCTGGATAAAAAAAAGGGAAACTTTGAATCTCATTCTTATAGTGCCTGAAAATCTTCAAATAGTAGATTTAGAGTAGACAGTTTGACTATAATCTTATTGTCACTTTTTTTTTAAGATCCAAACAGGGTCTTAGAAATGAGAATAGGATGGATCAAGTTGCACAGTTAGCCACTTAGCCCAGCCGCTGCCATTCTGTTCGTGTTCGGTCGAGGACACGCTTCAACATCTACATACTTGTTATAACATGCTCCATTGTTTTGAATGCAGGACTAAGTTACCGTGGGCAATGACCACCTAACTCTGCAAAAGAAAAAAAATCAACTCATAGTTGGTCAAATGACAATATGATTGGACCCATGATCTTAAGGACTTCGGAAAATATTTATTGCAAATAATTTCTTTGGTGAGAACATTAAACCTCTAAACCTAAAAGTTCATAGAAAATCTAAAACGAAACATATCCATAGTACGCCTATACATGTATACTGTCACTAAAACCGTGATGCAAACTAATATTTTAAGAATTCATATGAAAGTGACAAAATTTTGATGCATGTGCGTGTAAAAGGCAAACTTGAAGAAATTTTGCCTTTAGTACACATGCAACTTGAAATTTACCATTTTGGTATGAATTGTTTTAGATGGACTTCTATTAACTTATGCAACAAAATATATCTCTAGATGCATTATTGACATGCATCATTTAGATTTTATTTTTTTATTACGCTTATTAGTGGCGGCTTTTCGGTAATAATGCTATCCATTGTCCATTATATCATGCCACCCGCTCCAAATATGCCATATAACATGAGGACAAGAATGATGCTACTCCCCAAGCGCATAGTGATTTGGTGTTGTTTCTTAGAGCATCTCCATCTTTATGACCTAAAACAGCCCCCTAACTACCTGGTTAGATAGCCCCCTGTTTTCTTTGGGTCTGTTTTTCGCTGTTGCCTAAAGTAGTACTACCTAAAATAAGCTCCATATTCTTCTTTCTCTATAGTTGCAATATGTTGACACGCTATGATGTTTGTTTTACCCCCACAATTTAACCAAAAATATTTCAAATTTGTAACTTTAAACCAATAGAGCTAACATATTTTTTACATGAAAAATTTTCAATTTTAATATAAATTGTTGACATCATCAAGAGGAACTTGAACAAAGTGCATATATATCACATACAATCACAAAAAGGTAGCATTACGACGTGCCCACATATGCTCGGCCAAATCCTCACGAAGTCTCTCATGGATCGTCCAATCTTTAATCTCATCATGCATCTTCGAGAACTCACTCAACGCAAGTGGATCATGTTGTTGATACTCCTACTCACCATCTTGATCATACTCAAAGTCCTCTTTCTTGGTCCCTTGCTCATTTTTCAACGATGATTTTAGGCTATCAACATGACGTGGGTAAGATTCTTTCCAAGTTGTAGGGCAATTCTTCCACGTTCCAAGCATACATCCTAAGTAACCATACATGCCCGACCATCCCCTCTTCTCATTTGAAGCCAACAACCTCCTAGTATGCTCTACATTTGGTGGCCTCAGTCAACATCCTAGTGTCCTCAACCCATCTATTAGGCACTTTTAGATCAATAGTTTGGTTCAACCATCTAATGGGATAATAGTTAGGTGCTTGGCTAACAAAACAGCATCAGCCGGCTTATAAGCCAAAGAAACGATCAAGCGAATAGGGTGTAACTTGATTGTTACTCCACGCTATTTAGATCAATTATGATCATTTTTTATCGACTAACAATTATCCCTATGTATCAAGATTTTCCTAAGTACTAGTACCACAAATTATATAGCGAAATTAGTTTTTCTGAACTTTTTTTGTTCAGGTTCTACTATTTGACTCAACATTGAGCTCTGAGCAAGGGAGTTAGAGGGAGGGAGAATTATTTGGGCCTCTAGGCTCTTTTGTTTGTACGTGGCCCAGTTTTGAGTGAGCCCATTAGCTAAGGCTATCACGCACCAGGACATTCCAATCGTGGAACACTCCAGGATTCTGTTGGCTGTGAATCCGTGACCATCATCGAATCCTATCCTATAGTGGCAGTACCGTCCAGCTGACAAGCTACAAGCGAAGCCGCAATTCTCCGTTCACGGAGACGTGCTCCTCACTCCTCCGTCCGTAGGAGACACCAGGGGTGGAGCCGTGGAGGAAGAAGCGTGCCAAGCGCGAAGAGGATGCGAGTCCAATATTTCTTAGGGCATTGGATCGATTATCAAAACATATTAAAATATTGGGGCTATTGGGTTCTTGCCCCTATTTTGAATTCGAATTGTGATTTTACCCCCATTTTCTTCCACTTTGTGTTTTTACCCCTGCTTTTCCAAAACGAATGTTCAGTTTACCCCTACGCCGTGAACAACAGGTAACGGTGTTAAAAAAGTTGAAATATGACGAGTTTGCTCTTCCGAATATTGTGTTTTTGCTCCTATTTCAAACCCCAATTGTGATTTTACCCCCACTTTCTTCCACTTTGTGTTTTTACCCCTACTTTTCCAAAACGAAGGCTCCGTTTACCCCAATTATTAACTCAGTTATCTACATCCGGATCAAAGCAATTAAAAATTAACAAAAGCCCTGTGAAAAAGACAAACTTACCCCTTATCTCTCGGTCGTCTCTCTCGGAGTCGTCCCTCTCAACGCTTCTTGAGCGTGGGCGGTGAAGTCTTGTGGCGTGATGGCGGCGGAAGAGCAGCGTCTGGTCGTCAGCGGGCGCTGGCGAAGCGGGGAGTGTCTGACAAAGCGGAGGAAGCGCAGCGGCGCTGCTTAGCTCGACATGGGCACGTAGCCAAGCATGCGGCTCTGCTTGGCGTGGGCGCGCGTGGCTTGGCGGGCATCACGAGCGCACGTCTCGTGAAAGCAGACGACCATGGAGATCTTGTCGGTGAGAGGCGATGGATCCCTGCTCACGAACATCTTGCATATGTTCTCGAATGTCACCTGCAAGCGCATGCGCTAGTTATTCGATTTATGGCTTCAAATAAACGCATTAGCATGCATCACTGTGCGCCGGAATATATAGCTAATTAAGGAGCATGCATGCGTACTTTCTTGATCTCAGTGGCGGCGGAGATGGTGCCTTATGCGCCTTACGACCGCGCGCCGCCACGAGACACGGTTGGATGACCTCGGCGATGGCGGGCGAGCGGGCGATTGATGGCGACGAGGATGAACCCGCGGAGCCTGGTGTGCTGGCTACCCTTGACGTTGACCATGCAGGAGAGGCCCACGAGCTCCGGCACGGGCCAGTGGATGCCGAAGGTGTCGTCCTGGGAGGACTTGAGGATGAACTTGTTGGCTGCCGGCGAGCAGACGAGGATGGTCGGCGAGCCAAAGAGGTGAGTCCGGTACACGCCCACGTCGCTCGCGCGGCCCCCCGGCGTAGTAGCGCCTCCTCCTGGTGTGGACGAAGCCGTCGGGGCGGCGCGCGAGCTTGTAGTACCAGAGCAGCCAGAGGCTCTCGCCCACAAATGGGACGCTCATGTGGCTTGAAAGCCTCGACGCAGCGGCGCGTAACGCTTCAACGCGAAGAAGGCGCGGTGGCAGACGTCGTTGTTGTGCCACACAGCGAGCGCGAGCGGCGGAACGATGCCGAGGAGGAGGCCGATCCACCACGCCCAGTCCACCGCTGTCACCTGTGCGTGCATCGACATTAAGTGGACTCTATCACTCAGCACACTCCATGGTCAGCTGCTTTCACGCGAGGCAGCTGCTTCGTGCGCAAGCGTTAGCAGCGCCAAGGCCAGCAGAGCCGCGTGGTCGGGCAGCACGCCCACATCAGCTAAGCCGCGTGCTCAAGCGCCGCTTCTCTCCGCTTGTCGCCGCCGCGCGCCGCTCGCCACGCCCGCCCGACGGCCCGACGCTGCTCTTCGCGCCGCCGCCAAGACTCACCGCCGCCCGCGCTGCTAGCGTTGAGAGGGACAACCCTAAGAGAGAGGCACCGAGAGATAAGGGTAAGTTTGTCTTTTCACGGGGGTTTTGTTAATTTTAATTGCTTTGATCCGGATGTAGATAAGCGAGTTAAGAATTGGGGTAAATGGAGCCTTCGTTTTGGAAAAGTAGGGGTAAAAACACAAAGTGGAAGATAGTGGGGGTAAAATCACAATTGGGGTTTGAAATAGGGGCAAAAACGCAATATTCGGAAGGGCAAACTCGTCATCTTTCGACTTTTTTAACACCGTTACCTGCTGTTCACGGAGTAGGGGTAAACTGAACATTCGTTTTGAAAAAACAGGAGTAAAAACACAAAGTGGGAGAAAATGGAGGTAAAATCACAATTGGAATTCAAAATAGGGGCAACAACGCAATAGCCCCTAAAATAATAATACTAAAAATGGCAATGTCATGTAATAAAATTAGGTGAAGAAATGAACGATGTAAGATAGCTGACCCCTAAAACACCATATCCACTTGCAGACTTAGGCCTGTTTGGATGCACCTCGGGGTGTTTGATATACACCAGCTAATTGAAGACTTTGTACCATGCTACTCCATTAGTTGGTTTTAGCTTGGTGCAAACAGGTAATGAGATTGTGTACATTTTGGCTCTCTTTGGTTGGTGATCAAAACTTGCCACGTCAAAGGTTCGTCGTAACACAGGTTCTTTGGCAGCTGTTTGGTTCACTGCCACACCTAAGGCACGCCACACTTTCTTAGCACCCTGCTCCACATGTCATAGGCTTATTTTCGTGCCAAACCTTGCTACAAGTGTGGCTTCGATTTTTGTCGCCACACTTTTTTTTGCAGCTATAGTTTATCGAATGTTAGACGTGGCAAGTTTTGGTTATCAACCAAACTAGCTGGCTTTAGCTATGGGCTCTTTGGATGCACCACAGCTGCAAGTTTTGTACTTCCAAATTGACAAAAAAAAAATCCATCATTCTTTTTCATGGTTTGCTACGATGGTCTGTAGATTTGACGCGCTAATATTGGTCTAGTGGCAATAGCAGCAATTCAATCCAAGTATCAACGTCGTCACTCCTTAATTTTAGTCCATCCTCCAACCACTGCCTATGATTTGTATTGCAGAAAAAGTACTAGAGTTGATTCAGTGCCATACAGTAGTATAGTTTTTGAACGCCCATACAGCAGGTCGTTGGTGCAAAAAAAAAAAAAAAAAAAAACCCCAACTGCGCAGCAATTCAGAGGGATGCATCTGATGATCTAAGCTCGATTCTCAATTTCTCATTCCAGCTGCGCTTCAATCATTAGGGATGCAAGATGCAACATATTCAAAAGATAATTCAGTTGTCACAAGAACAGAGAAAGTTTTGTTTTCCAGACAAAGTTCGAGAGGTCCGTAACAATCTGCACTGCCATACCTTGAAGGCTTTGAACCCTCAAGCTTCTGGGGTAAAAAAGAAATCATAGTACCAGCCTGTTCGGCAGCCTATAACTGTCTGTATCTGGCTTGGCTTATTAGCCAGCCAATAGTGTTTTTCTCTCATACCAAACCAAAAGCTAACACTACTTTCAGCCCATGGCTTATAAGTCAATTCAGCCGAAACGAACAGGCACTCCGAGGTACTAATAAGTTCTTGTAGTTCTTCGAGATAGGATTAACCAGGCACACTAGTAGCAAGTTTGCAATATTAGGGCAGCTCCAAACGGGAAAACCTTGTACCTCTTGCCGGCCTTGCTCATTTATTAGTAAAGTTTGCATCTAGTATATATATTTTATCCACGGTCAAGGTCACGGACTGGGTCATCACTCATCAGCAATTCAGCAGCTTCGGTTCCTTTCATCGTTGGAAACTGGCATCGTTTCATTCGTTTGCTTGCTGGCTTGCTGCAAGCCTGCAATGCTCCGATCCCTTCTCTCTTCTCATGGGCAATTGCCAATTGGGCATCACTCGGAGCACAGGTTGCTTCAGATCCACGTCGCACACTTGCATTTTTCTGCGTTCCCCTCATAAAAAAAACCCAAGTGCTTAAATAAATACCCTAAAGCACTGTACAGTCATTTCCGGCACCACTCTGCACTTCACTCCTTCACGAGTCCCAGTGTCCCACCCATGCCCGAGTCACCGGCATCTCCGGCCAAGCCCCCCTCGCAGCCGGGATCGCCGCTCAATGCCGCCACTCCGTCCCCAGCGTCGGCATTGCTGCGAGGCTCCGTGCTGCTCCTCGCGTTCCTCATCCTCCAGCTCGTGCTCTTCTGGAACATCCTCGGCTTCCCCAGCTCGCGCTTCCTCCCGGCGCCGGGCCACAGGAACACTACCTGGGCCAACGGCGCGGTCAACGGCGGCGCGTGCGATGAGGGGCTCATCTACGTCTACGACCTCCCGTCGGAGTTCAACCACGACCTCGTCGACGACTGCGAGAGCCTGTGGCCCTGGTACTCGTTCTGCCCGTACCTAGCCAACGGCGGCTTCGGCGAGGCGGCCACCACGCTGCCCATCTTCTTCCACGTCACGCGGAACGTGTCGTTGTCCAGCTGGTACAACACCGACCAGTTCCAGCTCGAGGTCATCATCCACCGCCGCCTTCTCTCGCACAGGTGCCGCACCACCGACCCGTCGCTGGCCACCGCGTTCTACGTCCCGTTCTACGTCGGCCTCGACGTCGGCAGCCACCTGTGGGGGGACAACTCCACCGCTGCCGACCGCGACAGGGCGGGCTTGAAGCTGCTCCGGTGGCTCAACAACCAGACGTCCTTCCAGAGGTCCGGCGGTTGGGACCACTTCATCACGCTGGGGCGCATCACGTGGGACTTCCGCCGGTACGGCGACGACGGGTGGGGCACCAACTTCGTGGTCCTGCCGGGGATAGCCAACGTGACCCGCCTCGGCATCGAGGCCGACCGGCTGGACCCCATGGAAGTCGCCATCCCGTACCCGACCGGCTTCCACCCGCGCACCGCCGCCGACGTGCGCGCGTGGCAGCGGCACGTGCTGTCCCTCAAGCGCAGCAAGCTCTTCGGCTTCGCCGGCGCGCCGCGCTCCGGGTTCCGGGACGACTTCAGGGAGGTGCTGCTGGAGGAGTGCGAGGATGCCGGGAGCGAGCACTGCCGTGCCGTGGACTGCCGCGGCACGCGGTGCACCGACAACGGCGCGGCGGTGCTGGAGCTGTTCCTGGACTCGAAGTTCTGCCTGCAGCCGCGCGGAGACAGCTTCACGCGGCGGTCGCTGTTCGACTGCATGGTGGCTGGCGCCGTGCCGGTGCTGTTCTGGCGGCGGACCGCGTACGACCAGTACCGGTGGTACCTGCCGCCGGGGCCGCGCGGCGAGGATGGGGAGTGGTCCGTGTTCATCGACCGGCAGGCGCTGCGCGTGGGCAACGTGAGCGTGCGGGACGTCCTGGAGGGGCTCAGCGAGCGGCGGGTGCGGCGGATGCGGGAGCGCGTGGTGGAGATGATCCCGCGGCTGGTGTACGCGTCGTCGCCCGACGGGCTCGGCGACGGCATGGAGGACGCCCTCGATGTGGCGGTGCGCGGCGTGCTGGAGCGGTTCCGGCGGCGCCGGGCGAGCACTGCGCCTGAAGGTGAGTCGCATCGGTTCTTCTTTTCTGCCTTCTCTTGCTTGCTAAGTTTTCTTACCGAGTCGAGCAAATTTTGAATCAGTGTGAATATTTTTTTTCCGGACATGCACGGTGTCCTTTATGATAGTTATATTGCCCATTCAAAGGTGGCGTTGTGATTTGGCTCTTTCAGGGCTTTCAGCGGAGCACCGGCCAGGCCGCTTCGTCGCACGGCGTGTAGACGGCAAATCGACGCTGGCGCCTCCTTCTGACTTCAAAAATGGATCGGCAGCGGCGGTCAATCAGAACGCCTCAGGAACAAAGCTGAGCCCTCCGGCTTCGTTATACGTAAAACCCGTCGTGTCCAGAGCATCGGCTTCATCTGGAAAGAGCTTGCACAATCCTGGACTAACTGAAGAGTGAAGACCTTGAAGCGTGGACATAGAAATGCTGAAGGCATTAATTCATTCTGCTGCATCTGCATCTTGGATTGGATCGCGGATAGCTGAACAAGCTGGCATGGGTGCGTGACTGAGCCAGGGTCAACCGTAGCAGAGAGTGAGATCCAGTGGAACGGGTTACCGGGGAAGCGCCGAAGGGAACCACCGCTTGCTGTTGGCCCTGGGTTTAAGAAAGGGCTAACATGTTGTTTCCTGCTGCCACACTGCCGCGCTAGACGCGTTGGTGTTAATTGCAGTTGACCAAGGGGTAGATTCTTTACAAGATCTAGAAGGCCGGCCGGACTTGCATAAATTTTGATGAAACTTGTATTATAGTACTCCTCTCCGGGTTAGCTTTATAGATTCATCTCTTAACTATGGCTTTACACTATTTGATTGACGTCTAATGATGGTCTGTTTAGTATGGCTCCCGTCTGATTTTTTCATCGGCTTTGGCAGTGGAGCGATTGGAGCCGCACTAAACGCTTTCCTAAAAGGTGGAGTGCTTCTGACTGTCTAAACACAAAGCCACAATTGTTTTTGCGTATGAATATAGAGCCATTAAAAGTGGCTTCTACCACGGAAGTTGGGAAAACCGGAGCTGTTTTTATGTGATATAAGATGGAGCCGTAAAAATTCAGCAGCTTCGATCGTAGGAGTAGGAAGGGTGGGGGCTGACTCGGGCACGGAGCGTCCACGGAAGAGCCGCAACAGACCTTCTAGTTTCAGTTTCAGCAGCATGGATCTACTCATACTATTATCTCACAGAGCACATACATGTTCTAGTGTTGTTATGTCCTTGAAAGCAACGTTACTTAGGGCATGTTTAGATAAACATGGCTAATTATTAGTTGGACTAAAAATTAATCCAAATTAGTTATGGTTGCCTAGTTAGTTGACTAACAACTAGTTAAATACTTGATAAGAATTTAGTTTACCTCTGGTTTAGATGCACTATAGCTAATTTGAGCTAATTTTTAGTTCGCTAGCATTTAGCCCTTGGATCCAAATAGGCTCTTAGGACAGATAAATTACCGGACCTCGCGATTACGGCTACAATGATATCTTCCATTATAAACACCAAACATCAACCGTAGATCACATCTAGCTTTCTTCCAAAAACGCTGATCATGTCACAAGAGGGTCCGAGAATGCTATAGCTTTAGTTTTCTGTTGGTGCTTCTTGCTGTGCTAATAAAGCTTGAAATATTTCAAGTCGTTTTCAGTTTGGGAAAGGGAGAAAACGACTGAAAGGGGGAAAAAAAAGAAAGCAATGGGCAATGGCAAAACGCAACGCAAGAAGCGTCATCATATAATAAAACACAAGAGAGTTGAGCATATACCATTAGCAGCTTTGTACGGATGGTTCCAATTTCAAATCGATCCTAACATCACCTGGAGCCAGCCAAGAACGTGTGGAGTGGAGTTAGAACTAAAGAAGGATTGAGAAGATTTTAGGCCATCGAATTATCGTCCGGGAGATTTTTTTTTTTACCATAAGGCTAAAGAAAAACGTTTATTTGTTCTACTCAATCGTCAAAACCTGGCAATTTTGACCGTTTGATTGATTTGAAGGTGGTATGGAGCCAAGGCACCTGTGTTTGGTTTGAGAACGGTATAAGATTCATTTCTGTTTTTTAGGATTTTGTTGTCATTTTTTTTTATGTTTGGTCAAGAGGAATGTGTTTAGTTTATTTTTTCTGTTTGGTTGAATGGACAAGATTAAATAAGATAAATGGTGTTATGACACCATTAGCATCCGTCAACCATGGGACCGTTTGTCATATGGGACCCACTTGTCATTCTCTTCTGTATATATTAAAAAAATGTTCTTTCCTACAGAGCTAGCAGCGCCCTCTCCAATACTATCTCACATCGCCCTCGCCCCCTCTTCCATGCACGGCGCGTCCCCTACATAAGCTCTCCTATCGACACCGCTCGCCGAGCTCTCGCACCGTGGGGAGGACCATGTCCATGACCACCAAGAGCTTTTACGCCACAGGAGGAGCGTGGCCTTAAGGAACCCTCTTGTGTCGTGGACGGAGTGCAGTTGTCGTCAACCTACACTGGCCTCACCTCGTTACCCGCGTTGTCTGACCACCACACCATGTTTGGCCTCAGCCTACGGACGAGATGGACGAAGACGTCATCCAAAGAGGACATGCCCATCTGCTCGATTTCTGGAGACGAGGATGTCCCATATTTGAGGGGAATTCCTCTGAGGTTGGCTCCATCCTAGCCGCCAAGAAACAATGTCAAAATTGGGAAGGGGTCATACCAACCCTAATCATCCTGCCAACCAAACACACGCTAGGTATTTCGCCAAGTGCGTTGGTGAGGACCATTTGTCCCATTTATTTTTCTACTCTACTCGTTTTCTTTTATATGGACTATGAATCCCTCTGCCTGCAGCGATTCAAGAAAAAACTATTAAAGGAAGAAGTGGTGGCACATCAGATTAGTGAGCTAGAAGAAGACAACTGTAGTGTTTTGAAGTGGCTAGCACTTGTTGGTTGTCGTAGCTTTTGGCTGAATGTATATGTCGTTATGAGGTCATATGTGCATGAATCAGCATGTGCTTTTGGCTGGACGTATATGCTTTCAACTGAATGTACATGCTGTCTACTCAATGCAACTATTATCTGCCGTGTTAACGCCACGACAATATTCGACTATATGCAAATTAGAACTGAAATATATGCAACGGCAAACTAAAAAGCAATATAATTGTTTTAGGTTAGAAAAAACATTATCCATGCCAATGATAGTGGCAAAACAATCTTGACAATATGTTTTGATGCACTCCTGAATGAAGTTATAGCAGAGGAATCAGCATGAAACGGTACACCCATAAAGAGGACTCAAGGGATATGTTCTGATGCAAGAAGAATTTGTTGATGTAGTGAAGGTAAACAACATAACAACATAACGGTTGAACAGAGGTGACAGCAGCAGTACTTGGGTAGCTTTGGACGTACGCCTACGCCCGTTTTGTTACCACAACTGTAGACCGCGTAGACTGGAACTCCCACCGTGGCTGTAGACGGACGAGGACGTCGATGGCGTGTTGGTGGCGTCGGTAGACAGAGGTGACTTCTCCATATGTGGCCACAGACACAACATTGTGCTCACCGCTGAAGTCTCCAACTGTGGTGGCGGCGGCTCCGCCATCATCGTCTCCTCCATCTCCACGCCTGCGGTAGCTGCGTCGTCGTGGCTAAGGATGAAAACGGAACGGAAATATCCCGAATCGAACCGCATCGTTTTCTATATTTAATCCGATCGAATCCGTATTTTTTTGTTCGATTTTACCGTTTTCGCTTTCGCATTTGAGATGTTTCGTATTTCAAATGTAAAAGTAGAAAACGGTTTACACATTTTTCGACCGTTTTCTACTTTTCTAATTTTAATTTGAAATATTTCAAAATCAAAATTCGGTTTAAATCGAATTTGGCCAACTGCACAGGTCATACAGCCCAATTACAGGCTGCTCACCACGTAGCTGCGTTCTTTCTACTGGTGGCTAGCTGCCCTCTCTTATAGATGGCGCCCAGCCTCATCTCTCTTATTATGTATTTGGTCGTGCACTTGTTTAATGCTATGCACTTATTAGTTGTGAACTTGTTATGTATTTGGTCGTGCACTTGTTTAATGCTATGCACTGTGGATCGATATTTCGTATTGAATTTTCGCATACCGACCGTGTTCGACGTAATTCCGCTCGAATTGGTTCGTTTCCGAAATTCTAGATATTTCGTAAGTTCGTGTTCATTTTCGTGTCCGGTTTGTTCGCTTTCGCTTTCGCTTTCGTATTTCAAATGTAAAAGTAGAAAACAGTTAAGGAGTTTTTCGACCGAGTTCGACCGTTTTCATCCTTATCCTTAGTCGTGGCGCCCGTTCTCGTTGATCTGCGTCACAGCGGCACAATCACTTCACAACTACCAGCTAGTCGGTCGACTAGCGATCGATCACACGTCTACGTGCTACTGTTCATGCGAAACAATTACGTTTACCTTGACCTGAAGCTCTTCAGTCACGTTGATGAACAACTTATCCTGCCAGTGACAAAAACAACGCACGCGGTTAAAACTTCACAGCCAGAACATGTAGGCAGTGTCTATCAGGATCATTGAGCAGTATATACCTTTCTTGCATGGACATTACTGATGGCTGATTCGAGCTGCTTTTTCGAGCGCGGCGAGTTCGACCACTGAGGGCCTGTTTGGTTGTCTTCTCAGTTTCCCTGCACTGCATTTGGCCATACAAGCTCCAACTGACCAGGCTACGGGTGTGCAAACGTTGGTTGTTTGGTTCCCAGGACATGCAGCGCCTGGCTGCACAGAACCGGTGTTTGGTTGCCAGGACCATGTGACAGATGCAAAATTGACATGCAGGCTCACATGTTTGGTTCATTGCATGAGAAAGAGTCCAATTACCACTTGCATACAATGGTAACGTTACCACCAACATCCCTACAGAGTGCATGGTCTATTACAACACATTGGCAAACAAAGGTTACATGAGCTTCCAAATTAAAAACACAATAACCATGGCTTGGAAACAAATAATGACATGAGCACATTGACAGCCAGCTTTCTTCTTAACAACAATGATAGGCTTTTCTTCAACTTCATTAATGTAATTTTGTTTCTTTTGATGATAGAATGCTACATAGGCCTCTTCCCTTGTCTTGTACTTCTTGTACACTGCTCCTGAGAACCCAAGGACCTCATTTGCGTATGCCTCCCAGCTTGGAAACACACCAGTACTCCGGCCATTTGTAACAATATACCAGGAACCCATTCTATTAAACAGTCAACAAGCCATGAAATAAAGAAACAGTCCAATGCTCACCAACATGGAATGAAATGCAATATCATTGGGAATAGGCATGTCCTCAGATTAGTAAGAAGTGTAACTTTGAAAGCATAAGCAATGGTCAACAACAACATAGCCTTTCAGTCCCAAGCAAGTTGGGGTAGG